GCTCAGGTCATGATCCCAGAGTCCTGGGATCGGGCCCCACATCGAGCTCCCTGCTCAGCAGGAAGCCTGCTTCTCCCTCTCCCACTCCCTCTGCTTGTGTTCCCTCCCTCGCTGTCTCTGTCAAATAAATAAATAAAATCTTAAAAAAAGAAAAAGCTTTTTATGTACTGATACGTAACAAGCCCATGTATACTATTAAGTGAAAGAAATACGTTGTGCTGTGTAGGGCAGACTAACAACGGAATAAAAAAGGTCAAAATCTATGTGTGTGTCTAGATAAATATAAAATACATGGGCCTTCTTTTGGAAAATGATTAAAAATTCTCTAGAACGACACAAGAAATTGGTAAGTGGTCGCCTGAGGGGGGTACAGGGTAGCCAAAGCAGGGGACGGAGGGAGGCTAAGTTTGCAAAGTACACACTTCTGTACCTGTTCCACAGTGAACTATGTGACTGTGAATTTTTTTTTTTTTAATTTACAAACAAAACAAAAATCCCCACCCCACTCCCCACACAGCACCCAGCTCTCCATCTGCAGCCTCGGATGCTGGCCACAAGCCCGGAAGTCAGAAACCAGATACTATTCGCCTCACACCCCAGATCGGGGATACAGAAGGTGCTCAGTTGCCCTGTGTGGGTTGAGCTGCCTCTCCTGGGCCTCCCCCCCGCCCCAGGCCCCCCAGCATGCCAAGACCTGCTGCCTTACCTCGTGTGTTTATACTGTATCTGGGGCATTTGCTTACAGGTTCTCGACCAGGTCCAGGGCCACAGCACAGCCAGCCATGTCACCTCCCTCACTCGTCCCCAGAGTCCTGCAGGCAGGCCCTCCCCCTCCCGGAGAGGAGGAAACTGTACCCCCAGGAGTCCAGCGGCGGGTGAGGGCAGAGCCAGCCGTGAGTCCAGCAGGCTGACCTCAGAGCCTGCACTCGACCATGGTGTTTGGAGATCTCACCCCACAGAAGAATCTGAGCGCTGCCTCTGAGCTGTCTAGACAGCAACCTAGGGAGGCACCCCATGACGGGGACACAGCAGGAGCACACCAAGGATCCCCAGGGGCACTGCCCCAGCTGCCTGGCTCCTCCCTCCAAGCACTGTCTGCCGCAGGGTGGCTAACACTGCTACTCTCCTCTCCCCCAGCCGCATGCTTTGGGGCCTAAGCACCCTGCACACATGAACTCTGGTTAGCCCTCAAAACCACGTGCACTATTATCATGCTCATTTACAGGGAGGTGAACTCACTCGCCCAAGGTCATATAGCCAGTGAGTGGTAGAGCCCAAACTTGCACTGAGGCAGTCCTTGCTTGAATCCACGCTCTCAAGCCCTCACGATCCTCAGCAACCAACCGTGGCCTTGGGGAGCTACCACCTCCTGCCAGGAGCCCTTCCTTCCCAGATCCGGCTCCTCCCCTGCTCCCGCGGAGACCAGGGCACTAGCCACCGCTACGGCCCTGCTCCACCTCGGGCATGGCTCTGGCACCGAGACCGCCCCAGGAAGGCCATGGGGCAGGTTTCCAGGGGCGCCTGCTTGTAAAACGGCAGAGGTTACACCACAAGGCCCTTGGAAGGAGTCTACCTCTGGAAGCAGGTGGTGGAGCTGCTGAGGGTCTAGCACAGTGACCATTCAGGCGGAGAACACTCCCCAGGCAGCAAGTTCACACCTTTTCTACCATTATTGCTGCGGGTGAATGCTACCCTGGACTCCAACAGCTGTGCCGAAGACCTCCACTCCTTGCAGGGAAGCCAGACATTTACTGCACTTGGCCCTGGTGTCTACACACAGCTCTGTCGTGAGCCACTGTCTACAGAAAGATTTTCTTGTACTCATTCAACAAATATTTATACAATGCTTGCAGACTCTCAAGCATACCTTCTATAACTCCCAAACCTACAACCATGAGCAGTCAGTCCAGTTCACCCAGTATATCCACAGAGAATGTGCTGTGTAGTGAGCATCTCCCCAACCAATCAAAGGCTTCTTCTGTCCTCACACACATCAACAGGAATTCCGCCCAATTTGAGGTAAACAGAGAAAGAAAAACGTGTTTTTTTACTTTTTTTTTTTTTTTAAACATTCCCAATCTCATGGACATGTACCAGACAAAAGGCAAAATAAAAATAGTGGGTGAAGAAGGCCATCACTCATCTCCTGACCCTGGAACAGAAGGCAACTCTGGCTTTCATAGGGTGTAAAATTGCAGAGCCCTTCCAGAAAGCCACACAGAGCCCTTAGATGACCACACGTTCCATTCAACCCAGGGAACTGGAGATTCTAGCCTATTATAATTTCCCAGATGTAGGGGCACCTGGGTGGCTCAGTTGGTTGGGCATCTGACTCTTGATTTCTGCTCAGGTCATGATCTCAGGGTCATGGGATGGAGCCCTGCATCAGGCTCCATGCTCAGTGGGGTCTCTGCTGAAGGTTCTCTCTCTTCCTCTCCCTCTGCTCCTCCCCCTCAACACTCACTCTCTCTGTAAAATAAGTAAGTACATCTTTAAAAAAATTTTCCAAATGTAGGAGAAAGCTTAGGCCAAGATATCCTCCCTAGACTAAGCTCTAATTCATAACAGCAAAAACAAACTGCAATCATGTCATTTAATAGCCACTAGATTAAAACATAGATCAAAGGAAACATACACCTAAATATTAGCAATAGCAGATAAGGCTTTAAATAATTCAAAGGACCACATCTTTAACTTTTCTGTAACAGGAATTATTACTTTCATAATGGAAAACAAAAACGCTGATGTATAAAAGTCCCACGCAGGGCCCCATGGCCGGGAAGGGAGCTCGGGCCGGCCTCTGAGCGCCTCGCGGGCCATGCTGGCCACCTCTGGCTTGCCTGTGCATGGGGTCTTTCTCTAGTAAGGCCTGGTGCCCCAAGCCCCTAGTTCCATCACCTCGCATGAAACGGCTCGATGCTATTCAGGGGCTGCCAGTGACTGCTGACAAAGGCTCAGCCCCAGTGAATGCAATTCCCTGAAAACATTATACATCTCTGCCATGCAGGAGGAAGCTGCTGGGAACCAGTGTGGACCGAACGGGGGCATCTCCGGCCAAGTAGCAAATATGGGATCCATTAGACTCTCCAACCCAGGCCTCTGACAAAGGCCTCTGTGGCTAATTCCTTACGGCAATGGGCTATATGAACAAGGAAGGAGGGAGAAGAGAGAGAGGAGACAGAGGAAGGCCTAGATCCCCCTTTCTTTCTGTGAAAGGGTTATGTTGTTTGTCCCCCCATGGGCTCCAATACTCAGCACACACCTTCACTGGAAGCCCGAGCACCCTGCACACCGTGTACACCCCTGATGGATCAGGAATGTGATGTCCCTTGGGGTGACTAAGATTTCCAAATAAAACTAAAGGTGCTGGAAACAGGCAGACCTGTTCAGAGCTGTGCCTCCTACTCTTCATCTACTGGCTCATTTAGTCCGTTAGCAGATATTTATTGAGTACCTACTACGTGCGCCTCAGTACTAAGCAGTGGGACATGCAAACGAGACAAATGAGGGCCCTGCCCGCGGGGAGCCTACTATTTCACAGGGGGGCAGGGGGGGCAACAGGAAACAGCAAAAAATAAATACGTCAACAAGAACATGTCACTGGGGGGCGCCTGGGTGGCTCAGTCGGTTAAGCAACTGCCTTCGGCTCAGGTCGTGATCCTGGAGTCCTGGGATGGAGCCCCACGTCGGGCTCCCTGTTTGGTGGGGAGCCTGCTTCTCCCCCTGACCTTCCCCCCCTCTCATGCTCTCTCTCTCTCAAATAAATAAAATCTTTAAAAAAAGAACATGTCACTGGGGTGGAGGCAGCTCCTTCTGAGTAGGTGGTCTGAGAAGACCTCTCTGAAGAAGAGACAGCCGAGCTGAGCGCAGAGACAAGAGGCAGTGGCAGGTTGCAAGCGGTGTGATCCTGGGCTACTTAGTGAACCCCTCTAAGCCCTGATCTCCCAGGAACAGGACAATGGCACCTGGTACAGGACTATGTGAGGAAGCCACAAGACAATCCACTGAAGCCACCAAGGTCCATGGTCCTGGCACCTAAGCAACCAGAGGTTAACAAAATTCATGCAAGAACACCCCTTACGTGTCACCGGAAGGCAGCTCCGTGCTGGCGGGGACTCCTGTCTCTTGTGTTTACCGCTAGATCCCCGACATTAAAACTGTTCCCCAGGGGCAGAGTAAGTGCTCAGCAAATACCCCTATGGGGTGAATGAATGGTAACCCTCCGAAACGTCCAAAATTCGCAGCTAAGTTCCTGGTTTTCTGCGGGGTAGGAAGCACTGCTGTTTTGTGAGAGTCACTTTGCAGATTGGGCTCATCCAGTTCCAGAAAGATGACGTCACAGGCCCAGGGGTCTGCGCCTCCCTCAGCTTTCCCTCTTTATGTCTTTGGGGGTGACTCTGCCGGCAACCAGAACAAAAGCATAATTTAAAAAGTGAAACTAAGGGGCACCTGGGTGGCTCAGTCGGTTAAGTGTCTGCATTTGGCTCAGGTCATGATCCCGGGGTCCTGGGATCGAGCCCCGCATCGGGCTCCCTGCTCCACGGGGAGTCTTTCCCCTCTCCCTCTGCCTGCCGCTCCCCCTGCTTGTACACTCGCTCTCTCTCTGTGTCAAATAAATAAAATCTTTAAAAAAAAATTTTTAAGTGAAACTAAAAAACAACTTGTGAAAATATAGGGCACTGGTTAAAGTAAATTAGCCACCCTACTCAAAGAAATATCATGTTGCCATTAAAAATGTCATTTACAGGGCGCCTGGGTGGCTCAGCTGCTTAAGCGATTGCCTCTGGCTCAGGTCATGATCCTGGAGTCGCAGGATCGAGTCCCGCATCGGGCTCCCTGCTCGGCAGGGAGTATCCTGCTCCCTCTGACCCTCCCCCCCTCATGCTCTCTCCCTCTCAAATAAATAAATAAAATCTTTTAAAAAAAAAGTCATTTACAAAGTACCTCATGATACAGAGAAAGCCTTAAATTAAAATGTTAAATCAACAACAAGAAATAAAAACACATATGCTACATGGTTATAATTCATAAAACAATGTACACATAGAAAGGAGACTGGGAGAAAACAGAGTATCTAAGATGTTCCATTAAGGGCAGTTGTCTTGAAGGAAAGTTAACATCAGTGTTCCACTCCTCAGTCTTCTCTGTTCTCCAAGTTTTCTTTAATACACATGCACTCATTTTACAATGAAAAGAAAATAAATTTTATGTATTTTTACCTTTCCCTCGTAATGTAAGCTAATGAAGAAGAAGGTGCTTGGTCAGAGAGGAAAGCCACCGTGATGTGACCATTTTGCCAAGTCTCACAAATCCCCAGTCCCTTTCCCCTCAACTAAAGTCACCTGCTCTGAGTGGATATTACAGAAAAAGTCAAATAGAAGTCATCAAGACATGTCACAAAATGGAATTTACTGCCTGAGTTCAAAGTAAAATGAGTCTTTTAAAAAACTGAAATGAGGGGCACCCTGGTGGCTCAGTGGGTTAAGCGTCCAACTCTTGGTTTTGGATCAGGTCATGATCTCAGGGTCATGAGACCAAGCCCAGGGTCAGGCTCTGTGCGAGGCAGGGAGTCCGCCTGAGATTCTCTCTCTGTCCCTCCTCCCACCCACACGCGCATTCTCTCTCTCAAATAAATAAAT